ATGGATCTGGTATTTTAGAAAGCTTTGTGAGGCTATTGATGTCTAATATCTCTAAGCTTACACATTTTATATGAGTTTAATATATCAAGGCGTAGTCAAATAGTATTTTCAAGATAAAATACTTAAAGGAGAGAAAAAAACGCAAAAAAAAAAAAAGATTTATTTCATTGTAATGAATATAATTGTAATTGGGCCATTAGCTGACAGAATTCTGTGCTGGCTAGGAGGAGATAAAGATATGACATACGAGCACAAAAATGAAGGCTGGAAGATGAATAGGCCTTCTAGGGAGTTGATCTTTACAGATCAGATAAAGATTCCTCAGGTCTCTCTCTGGCAGGCTGTGCTACATCAAAGGCTGTCTTTCAGAGCGAGTAACGTGTGCTTGGAATCTGGGGACAAGACCTTTGAAAATGGACAGTTTTGAGATTGACAGGCAGCTGTGCTTTGGGGGGGGTTGTGGGTTTTGTGTTTTTTTGTTTGTTTTTTTTTTGTGTTTAATCTTTTGTAATCTCTTTAAAAATGAAAGAAGAATTCATAGAGTGATGGAGTGAATAGCACTTGCATCTTATCTGTCTTTCCAAATAGCTATTTTGCTCTAAAGATAGCCATTCTCTTTGAAAGATTTAAGGAAATCTGATGGGAAGTAACTCTTGACTTCTTTAAAAGTTTGAATATAAATACTTATTTCTGGTCAAGGCATGATTGTTCCCTTATTGATGATCTAAGTATTCTGAAAGTTCCTGAAGACAACGCACCCTGAACAACGAATTTTTAGAAAACAGAAAGGCAGCAAAAAAAAAAAAAAAAAGAAACAGCTGCTTCATCTATTAACGTTTATTAAACAAATGTTTGTTTAACACAGTGTTTTCAAGCACCTTAAGTTTGACATCAGCTGCTGTGTCAATCACGCTGGCTAAATCTAGCATCAGCATGTAAAGACCAGGGGTTTTTTGAAATACCTTGAAGTAAGCCACAATGTTTCTGTTGCATGTTAGTTTTGTGCTTTGTCCCGTTTTCAGTCGTGTTTGCTTCTTCATCCCCTTTATCTAAAAAGGAGGTGTGAAAGAGCTTCAGTCAAGGCCGAAAACCCTTTCACAGCTTTCATCTTCACTGCATGTGTACAGAGGCATGGAGTAAGAACCCATTAAAGCCTAATATGCAGAAATATTGTTTTGCATGTTTATTTTAGAACCATTTCTGCGTATTTTCTTACATATAAAAATATGAATCTCAACAGTTTACTGTTTGCTAGGAAACCACTGTAGGGAACTGCAGTGGGTCATGGTGTTAAAGAATGCGTTGCCTTATTAAACTATATAATGAGAGGGAAGGTGGGCAGAGCTGGGTGTCAGCCCGCTGTTGGGTTGCTCCTCTGCAGGCGTTCTCTGGAGACTCTTCCATCACAACAGGGAAGGCATGACCTGGCATTTGCATGCCTCAGAAGGAAGCAGGCATCATTTCATTGCGAGAGATGAAAAACTACTCTCTCCTTGTGTCACTATAAAGGGCACAGATAACTGGAGTCTGCTTCTCAACCTAGCTATTTTTGACCCAGGAGTCTTGACTTCTTACTCTGGCTCTTAACAAAGCTCTCTCTGTGGAAAGGTGTCTCAGTTATTAGACTCCATGTTGCTATAGCAGCAAGGTTCTCCTTGCATAGAAATGAAAAACTTCCAAGAACACCTTAGCTTCGTATTGCATATGTGTACATATATTTTTTTTTTAGTTTAATACTCTTCCCTTATCTTTCCTAAAAATAGAAGGTATTATGCAGGAGAGAATAATACTGGTTTTTTGCCTGCACAGACTTCCTATCAATCAACCCATGTATTTAAAAAAAACCCACTTATTGAAAATTAAGTCCTTGCATGATCTGTGTCCTTGTGATAGCCTGCACATAAACATTGATGAATAGTCTTCTGCTGGACAGGAGCTGGGTGGTCAGAGTACTGTAGCAGTCTAGTCTTTGGGAAACGAACCTGTCTGGTTTTTACATACATGACTTACAGAACTGGAGAATCACAGGGTTGTTCTGTTGCAGTATTAGGAGGTGAAGATACAATAATTATCCTCATTTTGAGAGATCAAATGACTTATTATTGTGACCACTCAACTTACAGATTTATTCTAGTCCTGCCTAATAGCCACTATACCGACTGCTAATAATTTGTGTAGCATTTATAAGAATTGTTGATGGAAAAGTTGATCTGCTTCAGGGAAAACAATACTGGGTTGATATCAAGTTGGCTAGGCTTTAGTTCTATCTTTGACATAGGATACTAGGAAATACATTCTATATATACATTCCAGCTAAACTTTTGGGTGCATTCCAGCTAAATTTTTGGATGTAATTTTGAAAATTGGTCTAATAACTAGTGCAAAAAATAAATTGATTGTTATGCAGTAGAGCAAAATGCAGGGATCCTTCAGTCAAGCAGTAAGGAAGACATCAAATAAGTGTCTCAGGCTGTTGCTAGAGCCAGTGTGCATAGGCCTGGCTCATGGTCGTGTGTACTTCCAGTAAAGTGTTGGGTTTTGGTTTTTTGGAGTCAAGGAACAGCCGTTTTCTCATTGTTTGGTATTGTTTCTCTATGACTGGTTGCTTGTGCTTTCATATGCACTTGGTTACTTTTAAGAGAGCTCTGTACATATACCCCAAATAATGACTTCTCATTTTGGAAGCTATTTTAAGGTATAGAGAGCTGTAGAAATTGCATGTAGAGTTATGTTAGTAGGTTACTTAGTTACAATGGGTTTGAACTTCAACCTGACTGAAAAAATCCTCAAAAAGAATAAGAACACAATATCTCCTTCGTGGGGAATATGCTTTTTTTCTCCATTTGAGACCAAAAAACTGCGAAACAACAAAACCATACAATTATAATTTTTTCATTTGCTTTTAGAATTTGCACTTTACAGTGCAGATTAGCTGAGGAATCTACCAACTTTTCATGGAGCTGAGGAATTTCAAGTGTGGCTGCAGTTCTCTCCATGCAGAATTCCTAGTAACGTTGATGCTCATTGCTTATTTCTCTTCATAATCCATCTGTCAGTTTGTGCGTTTGGGTGCCACTGTCTTCTGTGGAAAACAATTGCAGTTCTCTGGGTCCCATAAAGCAATGAAACAGGCTATGAGGGAAATCCGAGGGCAGTGTTAATGGCAGCTATCTACATGTGTAGTAAGTGTCATATCTTGCTTTGCTACAGTCTGTTGAAACCTGACTTAATCGTCTTGAACTCGTCGGAGGATAAGCAAGTTTAGATGCAGAACTCGCTAGACTGAGTGATGAAATTAGATGGACAAAATTGTTGTGGTGTATTACCAGAAAACTGAATATACTGTATAGGTAGCTGAGGTCTTTGTCCAGTGGGGCCAGGGAAGAGCTGTGCTATGCTTTTTCCCAGTGCAACGCATCAAATTATATTACAATTTTTCTTTTGGAAAGGTGGTGCTTGGCTGCCCTGGAGGGTACCTCCGGTTGGCAATGCCTGTATGATGCCAGTAACTTTCTATTAGCTAAGGATCATTTGAACTGACAATAAACCAAAGAAGTGGGGACACTGTTTTCTGGCAGCAGAGCATATAGGTTTGTTAGGGCTTTTTGTTTATATACGATAATTGCAAATGAAAAAGAAAGGAAAAAGTCCTAAGTTTTGCTTTGTGAAATTTATCATCTGGATAGCTGGCAGTGGGACTGCTCTCGTGGGATCGAATAACCTGGCGGCTGCTGTCCCGGCTGGGGGCTGAGGGGACGTTCTGATAGCACCGTCTCGGCGATTCCAGCTTATGTGAACTTGCTGGTCACACTCCTGCTGGTTGTTAGCAAGAACTGACAGCTGACCCAACTGAAAATGGCACTTAGACCGCCAGTTCATTTTGTGTAGGGGTTGCTCTGACTATTGAAAGGATCAGAAGGCTTACTGTGCACATGTCGATACACTATAAAGCATTTTCATCCCCAGTTATCTGGTGGATACAGCCGGGCTATAAAATAATTCAGTTCTCAAAGTGAGTCACTCTGCAATTAGGCCATGGCTGAGTCCGCGAGAACTCTGTTCACATCAGGTAGCTGCTCCTTCAGAGGGAGCTTGCTTGCTTGCAGGATGGGCGCCTGCCTCCAGGGCTGCCGGCACAGGGGATGCTCTGTGCAGCTTGGCTGGAGTACACGCATTATGCTTGGTGACTCTTATATGCAGACTTGTAGTAAACTTCTCATAAGTGTGTGCAAACAGGTTTTTTTTTCAAAGCCTTTGTTTTGTATGAGGAGGGACATGTCACCAACCCAATGGATTTGTCTGTACACGAGATTGATTTGAAAGAGCATCATCTGATCATTCCTGTGCGCTGTGCTTTACTTCCCGTGGGCCTGAGTAGACAAACTGCATGTCTTTCAAATTAATTTAAACGGGAAAAATGCCCTCTAGGAGCATGCCTGTTACTCTCCAGCTGCTGACATGTATTCAGTCCATGGGACCAGACTACAGCTAGTCCAAATCACGGAGTTTTTATGGATCCCTAATAGAACTGACAGGGGATGTCAGTTCTTCCTCTAATTGAAGCTAAATAATTAAAGGGAGAAATTAATGTCCATAATACAGTGTTTTAAGATTCTAATAAATACTTGTCATTGGATGGTAGATTAAATGAATATTTATAAGGCAAGGTGGTGTGTGTAAGGAGAAAGTATTTTCGGAAGGATATTGATGGATTTTGAACTTAACTAGGACTTCTTAAATGACATTGAAATGAGGGTTAAGTTTTCTCATGCATGATTACAGTACTTAAATAAGAAAATAATACAGAAAATAGCATTTTTGAAATAAGGTGGTACATCTTTACTTAAATAGACATAATTATCAAGTAAGTGTAAAAAAGCATAGATATATAGAAAAATGTGTGGAGAAGACGTGTAGGAAGAAATTAAAGAAGAAAGGCTTTGCTATGTGTAGAATCAGTAAAGACTAAAATGTATGTCTACTCTCTCTTTGGTCTTCAGCGCCTCGCTAAAGAAGCAGAGAAGTACCAAGCATCACATCAGTGGAGGGATGAGTTTGGGGTAAGTTTCATTTTTTCTCCTGTTAACCTTCTTGGATTTATCCTCTTTGAAATTTTAACTATATTCTTACAAGTGTTGTTTATATATCCACCACAGAAGGAGGCATTGACTGTGAATGGGCATTTTATTTTATTCAGTAAATAGAGTCTCAGTATGGGTGTCTAGAGAATAAAGTGGACTTTTCACTTCAGGAACTCTCAGGGAGCGTCCCAGAGCTCAGGGATGTGGCTCCTGGTGTACACAAGACCTCTGTTTGTTTTGACATACAAGGAATGATTACAGAGAAGGCGTTTGAGTGACGGTCACTACCAGTTAAAAATGTGCTACTCCAAGCACTGAAACACAGAATCAGAGAAAAGATTTTTACAAGCTGTTTTTTTGCTTATGAGGTGGGAAAAAAGCATGAAAAAGCTTAATACAGAAGGATCTGGTTATCCACGTGACTGTCTATATTGGGAGTCATAGACTATTTTTTTAGAATACTTTTCAATACTTTGATAACTGCATCTCTTCAGTATTCTAGTGCTGCTGAAAGAGGCCCTAACCTGGACAAACACTAAACTATCTTCTTCAATCACTTCAGGCTTCACTGAAAAACAAGTGAGATGATTGTAAATTGTACAACATTAATTCTTTATTACCAATGAAGTCACATTAATATTGTGCTGCATGATTATAAGCTTGTTAATTTTAGGCTACAGTTCCCTGCTAAGTGTCAAAGTCATTTATTATGCCTTCACTACCTGTTCCTTCAGAAATAAAAAACAGATGGTGCTTTTACGTGGTGCTGCTACAAACCTAGACTGTGTTTGCGCATCCACTAGCATCATAGCGGCACACAGTTAAACTCACAATGGTTTTCTGTAGCGTGCTCTCTGATCCAGTGTTCCTCACACACTTGGAGATGTGAAAACAGACAGACGTAAAAGATCCCTAAAGTCAGGCCAAATAATTCAGTAAGAGTGTCTGGCTTTAAAGAGTGCAGAGAGGGTCTGGACACGGCCTGAATGCGTGTAAGTGTGCTCTCTGCACAGACACAGCTCCTGATACACAGTGAAACACAGACCGCATATTCCATAGGGATGCAGTAGTGCGAATGCTGCAGCGACCTTTTCTGCTAATCTGTCTCTGTTTTGAATAGCAAACAAACCCCGCAGGTCTGATGGACTCAGTGCAGAATGGTGGGAATACAGTCAGATGCTCTTTCTGATCGTTTTGCTGCTTAGTGCACACACTGGCATCACATCGATGACACCATCTCAGCTTTTGGTTTTCATGTTGCCCTTTACTTGCAGCAGAAGTCGGTCATACCAGAGAGGCTTCTGGTCTTATTAGAATTCATTGCAAAGGAGAGATCTCAATGTAATTTTGAAATATGATTTTGTATTAATGTTGTGGCTCTGGCAAAGACTATGGTCAGAATAAAATTTAAAAAATGCAGTTGAATTTATAATGAAGTAACTGCAAACTGAGTTTGTGCTTTACTGTTTTGAATTTGGATGAGAACCCTGTGCACCATATAATAACCTTGACATTAGGTTATGCAATTAAATTTCAAATAAATGTATTAAGCCTCTTATAATTTAATTTGTTCCATTTTTGCCAGAAGTAATCTTTCTTCTCTTCTGGCCCACTTTTTAGAAAATGCCTGCTCAAATTAGTTTGCGCACAGATCTTTCTAATAAACTTAATTTTCAGTGGAAGATTCATTCTCCTAATGGCTGGGCTGGAAAATAGAAGATATAATGTAAATCTTTCTGCACACGAGGGTTTTTAAAGTACTGCTGATAGCATTATGAATGGTCTACAAAGTTTATTTCTTGTCCAAAATTTGGTTTGGGGTGATGAAAGCCCCTCCAGCAGCATTGCATGTGAGTCACTGTAGAAAGAAACTCTTTGGGACAGTTTATTTCTGCTTCTAACAAGCTCATGATCAGCAGTGGTCTTGACAGTCAGATTGCAGCTGAATAATAACCTATGGAGTTTTAGGAGAAAATGTTACAAACGTTCCTTCTGGGAAGTAAGTATGGGCTGCCGTCAGTGGAAGAGCTCCAAAAGAGGAAGGGTAAAGAGGGCTGGCCATAATACCAAGGTCTATACAGAACTACAAGGGATGTGTCCATCAAAAGACTGCCAGAGTGCTTGTTCTAACACCCTATTCAAAATATGAATGTTTATTGCTGAGTTTGGCACAAAAGAAGCATGTAAGCATTAAAGATTTGTAAAGATTTTATTTGCAGGCTAATGTCACAGTATAACAAAAATTCAGCATCCTCAGATACGATTTGAAATAAACTAGGACAGGAAAAAATATTTGAAGATCCAAATTCTGTCCTACAGCCCCGTTTTTGTTTTTTCAGCTAATAATTTCATGTAAAGACTGTCAGAATTTTCTGAAGTTTTGAATTTGCTTGCCTTTTAGAAAAAATTTTGGGACTAAACCGTTGACAGAAACACAAATCCACATCTATTAAAATCCCTTTTCCCTACTATTTGTAATGGATTGAAAGTAGAATTTCTTCCAATATTTCTCTTACTATACTGTATTAAATTCCAGCTGCTTCAAGAAGACGAAGTAAAGAAAAAACAGAAGTGAAAATTTATGTTTTGCCTTTTTGATAATTCATAGAATCATAGAATCATGGAATGGTTTGGGTTGGAAGGGACCTTATAGATCATCTAGTTCCAGCTCCCCTGCCATGGACAGGGACCCCTTCCACGAGCCCGGGTTGCTCAAAGCCCCATCCAACCTGGCATTGAACACTGCCAGGGAGGGGGCAGCCACAGCTTCTCTGGGCAACCTGTGCCAGTGCCTCACCACCCTCACAGTAAAAGATTTCATCCTAATATCTAATCTAAATGTTTCCTCTTTTAGTTTAAAAGCATTACTCCTCATCCTGTACTTCTTGATGAAAAGTCCTTCCCCACCTTTTCTGTAGGCCCCTTTCAAGTACTAGAAGGCTGCTATAAGGTCTCCCTGCAGCCTTTTCTTCTGCAGGCTGAACAGCCCCAAGTCCCTCAGCTTTTCCTTCTAGGTGAGGTGCTCCATCCCTCTGATCATCTTTGTGGCCTCCTCTGGACCCACTCCAACAGGTCCATGTCATTCCCATGCTGAGGGCTCCAGAGCTGGACGCAGGACTCCCAGGGGGGTCTCACCAGAGTGGAGCAGAGGGGCAGAATCCCCTCCCTCACCCTGCTGGCCACGCTGCTGGGGATGCAGCCCAGGATATGGTTGGCCTTCTGGGCTGCAAGCACATATTGTCAGCTCATATTCAGTTTTTCATCCACCAGTAACCCCAAGTCCTTCTCGGCAGGGCTGTTCTCAATCCACTCATTGCCAAGCCTGTGTATGTGCTTGAGATTGCCCCGATCCACATGCAGGACCTTGCACTTGGCCTTGTTGAATTTCACGAGTTTCACAAGGGCCCATTTCTGTAGCCAGGTCCCTCTGGGTGCCATCGCTTCCCTCTAGAGTATTGACCACACCACTCAACTTGGTGTCATCCACAAACTTGCTGAGGGTACACTCAATCCCACTGTCCCTGTCCCTGACAAAGACGTTAAATAATACTGGTCCCAATACACACCCCTGAGGGACACTGCTCGTCACTGGTTTCCACTCTTTGAGTGCAACCAACCAGCCAATTCCTTACCCACCGAGTGGCCCATCCATCCAATCCATGTCTCCCCAATTTAGAGACAAGGATGTTGTGTGTGACAGTGGAAAATGCATTGCACAAGCCCGGGTAGATGGCATCAGTCACTCTTGCCTTCACCGATGCTATAACACTGTCGTAGAAGGCTACCAAATTTGCCAGGCACAGTTTGCCTGCAGTGAAGTCATGCTGGCTGTCTTGAATCACCTTTCTGTCCTCTATGTGCCTTAGCATAGATTCCAGGAGGATCTGCTCCATGATCTTGCCAGGATCAATAGTTTAAGGAATCTTTACTACAGTTTAAGAAGTTTTAAATTTTATTTTGGTTTTGTCTGAAATATTCTGTTTGTGTTTACCAAAACAAAAAATAACCATGAACATAGAAGTCTGAGATTGATATTAATTTGAATCTGGGATGTCGTGACCGAGCATCTTACTGAAGAGCAAATGTCTGGTGTTAGTTGAAGTATTTTCATACTCCTATCCCTCTGTCACCTTGCATAGCTTTCTAAATACACAGATTGACCCTGGGGGCTATATGTATTCTTTTTATTAATAAATGAATGTTTGTCAGGTGTATACTGAATGTCTCAATACCAAAGAAAAAAAATCTGAAATGAGTTAAGAGCAAGTATCTTACAAATTTATCATTGGTTTTTAGCTAAGTGACAGAAATAAAGATCATAATGGATTTTGGAATTTTGCATTGATAATTAAATATCCAAATAACTTTGGCAATTACTAATTAGTTTACTAAAAAATGCAAAGTGATTAAAAGGATTATTAATTAAGAATAATAATTAAGAATACTGAATGTCTTCTGAGTAAAAAAGGAAAAAAAATCATTGGTATTGGATTGTAACATGTTGTTTCCCAATTAAGCACAAAGTCAATTAAAATATCTGAACTGCGGTTTTCATCTACTGCCTTAAAATAATGTGTACCTGCTAGAAAACTATTAAGTCTTTAGAGAATATTTGTGAGGTTTATGAGAGCAAATACAAAGTGCTTTGCTTTAGGCAAATAAAAATGCCATGCTCTGCTTCCTCCTCCATTGGTCTTGCCCAATTCCCTAGCTGCAAGTGCAGCTGGAGAAATAAAACCTACTTAAACATTTTTAGATTAAAGCAGTTACAAGTCAGAGGTAAAAACTAATATTTCTAAATGAAGCAGCCTTGTCAGTTTGAATTTTCTTGTATGCTGCAGAGTGAAAGGCGGGTCGTTTTGACACTTGTGATGGTCCAATTATTTTTCTGGCATGGAGAGTCTTAAAAAAAATTGTACGTGAATTGGAAGGAGGGGAGAATTTTGTATGAAATGATTGCTGTTATTCCCCAAATGGAT